CCGCCGCTCTGGGAGGCCTTCGGCGAGCCCGCAAGCGATTCGTGGGGGTCCGGCAGCGGCCTTCAGGGCGGTGGGTGGCGGAGATAAAAGACACCATACAGAAGATAAGGGTGTGGCTTGGCACTTTCGACACTGCAGAAGAAGCAGCCAGAGCCTATGATGAAGCGGCTTGCTTGCTTCGAGGAGCCAACACCAGGACAAATTTCTGGCCTCGTCAATCTCAATCCAATTCTTCAGCCCCCGCTCTTTCTTCAAAAATCACCAATCTCCTCCTTCAAAGACTCCAAGCAAGAAATAACCAAAACTACAACTCTTTACCATCTTCCTCTTCCGTTTCTTCCCTGCTTCTCAGTCAGCAACAGGACCAAGAAGCAGAGGAAAAAACAGAGTTTTCAGTGGACCAGTTCACCGACTTTCTTAATGATCCTGAGGATTACACCACAACAAGCAACAACAGTGAACAGTTTGATTACATTACTCGTTGTTTTGAGTCGTGTTTAACTGAGAACAACGAGTGCGAGGAAAGAGGAGATGTAATTGGCGATTCAGGTGAGGAGAAAGAGGAAGAAAGCAGTGCGAGGTTGATATGGGGTTGCAGATTTTGAGTTTCTGGACAGCGTGGTGCCATCATCATGGTACGAACTATTCACCATTCGAGATGGCTCGAGAAATAAAGGAGGAAGAGGAGGAGGAGCAAGAGGGAGAGGGCTATGGTGGGAATGAGCCTTGTATGCTGAGAGCAGCGATGAAGAGGATGAAGTATGAGAGGAGGTTCTCTGCTTCTCTCTATGCCTTCAATGGGATATCAGAATGCTTGAAGTTGAAACTGGGATCGGCAAATTTGAAGGGAAGAACAGTTTCTGAGCAACTATCTAATCTGCAGATGGCATGTTCCAGTAAGAACAGAGTTGAGAATAAGGACATCAATACTAAAGAAGGAGAAGAAAGCCCACAAACGTCAATTGATGTTTCCGAGTCCTCTTCTCCTTCTTCTCGTAATGATAGTGAATTGATCTGGAATTCTCTGGATCTTCCTCCAATTGCTGAAGGATATGGTGCCTTAATTAGTAGTATTCATTTCTAATACTTCAAATTTGTATGCTAAGCAATTTAGAATGAACTGTGTAAATGGAATGAGTACCGCTTTCAGGTTGTTAAAAAATGAGGTTCCTTTATTAAGAGTACTCATTCCTCATGCTTCATATATGTATGCTGAGCGATGTATTGATTGGAATGAGTACTATTTTAACGTACGCCTCGTATTATGTAGCTTGTGAGTCATTAGTCCAGAACTTCTGACAGCTCCTGATAACTGTTTGCATAAATTAAAGTCACACATTATCATTAGTTAATATTCCACAAGGTTGTCCAACCACACAGTAACATAACAATGACAAGGCAGATTTGGTCTCAAACTGGTACTTGAAGTCTTCCCCCTAAAGTAGCTCCTTGTAAAACAGAGCATCTGCAAGGCGGTCCTTTTCGGGATGCTTTGTGAATTATGCTGAACGTAAAGGATATTACCTACGAGTATTCAATATTCACCCCACTTGGCTCTTCATTTCTAAAACAATCAAGTAACTGATGAGGAGAGATTTCGTTCCCCCGTTTATGTTTTTTTGCGGTCAGTGAGCATGCCCCGTTGGCTCTTTGTCGGCAAAGAATAAGTATGCCCCGTTGGTAAATTCCAATTATCTCCCTGGTTGTAACAAAATAGAAAGTGGTAGTAAAGCAGGAGAAACGACGTCGTTAGCGTAGAAGACAAAATCCCCATAAAATCCCCATCCTGACGTTCGCGGTCGCCGGTTGGGCTCGGAACACAGCGGCTCCTTCAGCCCGATTTTCTTTCGGAGCTGGTTCGCCTTCGCTCGCATCGCCCCGGCTTTTGATGACTCGTTGTTGCTGCGTTGCTGTTCGGTTCTTCACTTTCGCGGGTTTCTATCGATCAGGTTTTCGGGATTCATTTTCCTGTAGCCCTTTTGTCCTGTTACATATCGAGTTAAACTTTTACTGAAACGGGTTTCAATGGATGCGCTTGCGATGGACGATCCAATTTTCTTTAAAATCGAGGATTGTCAAATATCTTCGTCTCAGGAAGAAATCCTGCGTGATTGTCCCTTCTTCGGACAGCCTGTTAACTCACCCGGTGACGGAGTACTGCCAACGCTCCCGGAGACTGCTCAAGACACTGGTAAGGATAGGGGTTCCCTAGACGTTTTTATTACCCCGCCTGGGAAGCAATCGTCAGCATTCGACTTTCGGCCTTGTGGATGTCATAAGGCAGTTCAGACTGATGATCAGACCCTGGGTTTCGATGATTTCACAGGGCATGCAGATGTAAATGTGTATGTTGATCTGAATGATGATTCGGATTTGGGGTTTCCGCTAGCTGATTTAAACCTGATGACTGACCACACAATGGTGGCGGGCTGCTCGCGCGGGAACTATGGAGCTGGTGTACCCGAGATTCCCAACCTCGAAATAGACGAATTTCAGGTTTCGGGTAGAGAATTGTCTTCAAAGGATAGCATCGGTGAGCCACCACATAAAAGAATGAAGACTTCGGAGCAAAATCGGGGTTCCGAATCTTCACAGGGTTGTTCCGGGATTGAACCACGGAAAATTGGAGATAATTTCCAGCATTGCGAAGGAAAATTGGTGTCTCCCCAAAAGAGGCCCTGCAACTTTGCGGCTGATCCCCAGCCTCAACAAAACATTCAAATTGGTAAGGAAATGCCTTTAGGAGTCAGGGACCAGAAAACGGATTTCGCAGGGATTTCAGTAGAGGAAAACTTGGGCTACGGTGAGAATCGGGGAAGCCACGTTACTCAATCGGAAATTGCAATAAGTAGTGGAGAAGTTGTTGAAAATATTGAAAGCAGAGGGCGGAATCCTGAAGCTGAGAAATTGACATGCGCTGGTAAAGGGAAGAAAGTGAATGAGAGTGCTGAGACTCCTGAGAACAAAGGACGTGATGAGCAACAAAAGTTGAGGATGCTTCTACCCTCAATTGCTGGATGTTTGAAGGATATGGCAAATGGAAAAAATGAAAATGAAAAATCCGTTAGCTTTGTTTTTGATGTATTGAAATCTCTCACAAAAGAGGCTTCTGAGAAAAAAGACAGCCTCGAAAATGTTAGTTGGTTGGAACTTGCAAAATCTAAAGGCATCACTTTTCCCACTCCATGGTGGAGGATGGAGACCAACACGTGATAATTGAAGTTGCCAAGGTTTTTTGCTTAGTTTTTGGTGTTCATACCTTTGCATGAAGCTAATTGCTGATTTACTAAAGGTCTCTAGTGTGTAGCTAAAATTTTTGGTACTATAAGCAATGTAAATATTATATTATCTGTTCAGGGACATGATTTTGTAAAGCTGTTTTCTTGGTTTTTAGGGGAGCAGTTGATCATACGATGTCTGCTTGATCTAGTTATGACGCTTTGTAAAGATGTAAATGTTAAAAAGCATGACACCATATCTTTCTTTTATTTCTCTGTTGTTTACTGATTCTCTCCGTCCTCTTCTAGCAGACCATATGGTTGGAAACAAGTGAATAACAGAAAAATTTAATATAAGTGTGAATGGGGCCTATTTCGCCCCTTACATTACCTCTCTTCCATTTTTTTTAAAGGAAAATTGGAGTTGGGGTTCATGCTTCATCAGAAGTAGAGCAAACCTTAAGGATTTATAAATCACCTACGAATAAAAGCTCTCCATTTGCAATGAGATTTGAACTCAAGCCTTTTTTGATGGGTTATATCCTTGTCAAATGTTAATTGAGCCTTTGTTCACTCCATTTCATTATTTCCATGATCATATTTGGTTTGAATCTCTTACACGGGGGCGGTGGTTTCATGGGTTGCATTAACCTATTTGTGACGTCAATATTGAGAAGAAATATACTTTGTTCTACGGCATACTTTAGCTCTCTCCTTTCTAACTTTATGGTGTGATTTTATTATGTTTGGAATATTTTTTTGGGACTAACGCTAAATAAAGAAGCACCTAAAATGGGATCTACCGAAAATGGTAGGATTTTTGTTTGGTATCGAATCATAAGCAATATTTATTTGTAACCAGTTTCTTTTACTTGTTGACTTAGCCTTAGCATAAACCAGTTAAAAAATCTTGTTAGATGAGGTAGTGACTATGCTCGGTTCTTCTGGGATTCTTTTCCCAAACAAAAATTCTAGTGTTGGATGAAGGTAGTGGCTATAAGGGGTGTTTGGAAACCACAAGAAGTCTTTTTAAAAATATTTTTCCGTAAATTAAGATAAACTCTTCTACATATTTAATTCGTATACCGTAAAATCACTTCTGAAATCATAGTTTGATTTCCATCCAAACAGCCTCATAGTCAGCTCTTGGATTGTTGGTTAGGCTCTTTTTACTTTTCACTGTTAGCCCCTTGTTTATGCTGCGTGTTTTAGTGTAGACGTCATGTTACCTTTGCGTACCGTTGCTGATTCATAATCTCCAGTGGTGTCCGGTAATTTTTATTGTCAACGGTGTCTTGTGTTGTTTTAGTCGTACTTTTTTTTTTTTTTGATAAACTGGAGACTAGTTATTTTAGTTGTACTCATGTCATGTTTACTAATAATATTATGTATTTGATCTTTCTATTTGAAAAGAAAACTTTTTTTTTTTTTTGTTTGCCGGGACCGCATGTTGTTGCTCCCACTTTAAGCTTTGATGCTTCAGTCACCAAACGGATTAGAATTATTGGTTTATGATTTTATTAATTGATTCATGAATAAATTCATTGATAGATTAATAAATTTAACATACTACCAATTATATACTACACTACAAATACAAATCAATTAATGACAAAGAACAAATATAATTTTCAAACTAGAAATATTTAAATACTTATTTTTGTAATAGCCTTTGACACGATAACCTCATCCCATGCATTATCACTAGCTCTTTCACCAAAGATTGGAAAAGAAATAGTGATATTTTAAAAGCCCAAAATTTTAAACATCAATGAATGCATCTAAATCCAAATTAAATAAAATACTTCATTCCTTTCCTTTCCCATTCAAACATACTTAACCGTAGGTTGCTTAATGAAAGTCAACACAGGCTAATAACCATGCTACCGGAAAGACATTTAAAACACGGCAACGGTAGAATTCCAGAATATGCATCAGAACACTGTTCTGAGGCCTCATTTCTCTCACATTATCCGAGACATCAACACTGAGAAAATTCAATTCCCAGTGCATATAAAGCAGAAATAGTCAAATATCATAATAAAGGAAGCCGTTAACTCAGTAAGATTGGCCCCATATCAACCATCACCCACATAAAAACTGGGGCAATACCAGATGTTCTCAAGACAATCTGAACAGAGCGCACCGCCATTTATATACAATCGTAAGCTTCCTATTGGCAAGGCAACACTAGGCACATGTCAAGTCCCCCTTAAAGGCATTATCCTCTTTACTTAGAGCACGCGAAGCTGTGCAAGGAAAGCAGCACAAAGATCCAAAAAGAGAAATTGTGGACCCAGGACCCTTTGCAGATCAAGCAGATATTTCTCCTCCCGGGTTTTGTAAAGCTGTTCAAAAACCCATGAATGAAACAGATATGTCAACATACTAATTTAGGAACATGCTGATATATGAGTTGGCATGTCAACAAGAGAAGCTTGGCAATGAAATTTATCAAAGCAATATAAGCAACGAGTGCATTGCTCAAGTGGTAGGAAAAAGGGGAAAAAAAATCTTCAGAACCTTTACCAATTTAAAATACATTACCTGAAGTTCAAACTTGATCACATTTGGCTTAGAAACAGAATCGTTCTCAATGATGGTGGCATCATCTCTGTAGTAATGACTGCCATACACAGTATTGTCTACCATTCCGTCATGACCAGGATTCCCAGCAACCCATCTGCACTTCATGTTGTAAGGTCCAATCTTTTTCCAACACACATTTAATTCTTGCAGGGCTTTAAGGACCTCAGTCATTATTTCACGAGGATGAGCACGAGACTGCATTAATTAACAGATAGAACAACATCAGCCAAAAGTTCATCAAGATTCGATCTCTCTGATGCCATTCAAAAGGAACATTATGCTTATAACAAAGGTAAAAAAGCATACTGAGAGAGGAAAATGAAGCACAAAAACCAAATGCATTATTTAAACAAATGCAACAGCCCAAACTCAGTAAAGATAGAACAAATTACATAATAATGATTTCCTCTGAAGCAGCCAAGCATCACGGAAGGCAATTGTAGCACATGCCAAACAATATAATAACAAGCTTATTCTCAAATCCAGTTCCATGGCAAGATCAGCCCACAAGTATGCTAATGTACCTGAAGCCCAAGGGCCCATTTTCTCTCAACAGGGAACTGGGGTCTTAATGCTGCTCCTGGATAGTCCATAAACCCTGGAAGGCGGTGACCAACAACTGAAGCAGCAACTCCACTGGGATGAATACGGTTAAAACCAGAATCCTAAATGTCAAATCAAATTACAAAAACAAATGAGCCATGCATTTGGCTTTGTTTTGAAAAGGAAAAAAAAAGGAAATATAATATCACTAGGTATATAGCACCTACAGCCCAATGATTTAGATAATCCATTAGAAACCATCTCCAAGCTAGGAAAAGTTGGATCAAATTACATGACTTACATTTTACACAACTCAAATACACGGAATGATAAGCAAAATTCCCAGTTCACATCGGAATACAAATTGCAAAAGTGTCAACGATGTTTCTCAGGATCATCAGATATAAGTAAAACCACTTCATTACAAAGATAAAATATTAATGAAATTGAAACAACGGAGAAGATAAACCCACCATTGTCTCTTGGAATTCAGCTCCAAGATAGCCACTGGAAACACGGAACCGATTGTCCAATAACAAATAGTATGCTACAGTACCCTGAAAAACATAATTGGGTTACAAGACAATTATGCAGTGACGGAAGTAGAGAATTAAGAGTGAAAACCTCATTTTGTATCCGGTTCTGAAGAGATTCAACCAGTTGATTCCTATCAAATCCCATGTTAACCACTTCCTGAAGAAGTTCCTCGTCAATCTATTTTCAAAAAAGGACACAAATTAACTTCAGTTTTAATGCTGACAATAATTACATATCAAGTAACAAGAATGGATATGTGCAAAACTTTCTGCCAGCAAGCTTACGCCTACACACATAATTTGCACAACTTTGAGGTGGGAAAAACAAGATAGCATGCGGCTGAAAGCCTGAAACTCCTCATATGCTGTATTTATAAAACTAGAAAACAACTGACTACTACATGCCTCTTTTCACAAAATGAGTGGTTGAAAATCATCTAGAAAACCAAACATAAAAGCAAGCATTCTCAACCATTGAAAATAGAAAGGCTTTTTAGTAGCAGAATATGCCAACAAGGTGAATAACATTGAGTCAAACATAGACTGCTTACAAAGATCTTTATTAAACGGGCAAAAATCAGAACCTCACCTGGAAAAGAATTGGAAAAAAATGCAGATATCAAAACCAATGCAGGAAAAGTAAACCTTTTTCGCTTGCTGCATTGTATCTGGTGGGGGCACAGCTAAATAACGAGGGAGGTGAGCCTGGAACCATGGGTGTTGGCGAATCTCAGGTATGGTCATTCTCTTCATGGGATCAACCACAAGCATCCTTGGGATCAGATCTCTAGCACCAGGTGATAGATGACTAGGAAGAGTATATATCCCACCCTGAAAAAGCAAAAAGCAGGGAGGTCCACTTAGGATGCAAAATTAAATCATTTCAAGATAAAACTGTGGAAAAGACAAATCTATTTGGATAAAGGAGAGTGCTCAAAGAGGACCAATGAAAATAGAATATGATCCAATTGTTTGATTGCATCACTGCAGCCTAAAATTTTCAGCCTTCAAAACACTTTAAGTAGCATTAGGCATCACTTCTTTCAAATCCACCAAAAAGAAAAAGAAGGTTAAATTATACAAAACCCTCCTGAATTTTGGACCATGCACAAATAACCCCCTTAACCTCTTAAAGTTAACCCCCATAAACTTTCAAGTTTGCACGGATAACTCCCAACCATCAATTATATACTCCCTTAAACTTTATTTCTGTGCATGTATAGCCCCCTTAAACCTTGAGTTATATGCAGACAACCCCCTAAACTTTAAGCTATATGGAGATAAGTAATAAACAAAACTGATGGTAAGGGGGTTATCTACATAAATGTAAGGGGGGTTCATTGTAAAGTTTTAAAAATTAGAGAGGTTATCTACACGCAACATAAAGTTCAGGGGGGTTATGTATAATTTAGCCAAGAAAGGAAAACGACAAGAAAATAGCATAAGAGTCATCACCAATACCTTTATTTTCTTAAAAAGGTTAGGAATGTTTTCATCATCAAAAGGAAGGGTACCACAGAGAAGAGCGTATAAAATTACACCACAGCTCCAGACATCTACTTCAGGTCCAGCATACAACTTTCCAGATATAACCTGAGATACGTAACAGTGTGACCAAAAAAAAAAGTGAATCACAAAGGACAAAAATATACATTCTGAAGTCCTCTAACATATAGTACTGCTAACTCCTTGCATTAGAAAACAAAGAACATCAAACCTCCGGAGCAGCATAGTTTGGGCTTCCACAACTTGTCTTAAGAAAGTGACCATCGCGCATGATATTGCTCAAACCAAAATCAGCAATTTTGACATTGCATTTGGCGTCCAAAAGTAAATTTTCTGGCTTAAGGTCTCTATGAGCCACCATATTTCTGTGACAGTACTCCACGCCAGAGATTATCTGCTTCCAACACAATAATCAGCTTAAATAATCTGGCGTAAGTGTCAACAACCACTTCATTCCGAAAGCTTAAAGCTGTTAGGGTAGGGGAAGGTCTATGATGTGTTTTATTAATATATTTAGAACACCAACTATTGGAAAACCTTTGGGTTTGAAGCCAAGAAAAAGCAAAAACCCAATAAGGATTGAACTCCAGACCACTTGTTCATAGAAGCTCTCTATCAAGGACCACTTTATCCAGCTTAAACTATCAAGAGAAAGCCTATGATTGGTTTTATTCATATCTCCAACAAAAAAAAAAAAAAAACATTGGCTGATGAGATGTACGAAACAGAAGTCAATCCTACCTGCTGGAAAAAATTACGGGCTTCATCTTCTTGTAGCCTACCCTTTTCCACAATGTAATCAAAGAGTTCACCAGATTTTACATACTCCATGACAACATATATGTCTGTTGGGGTTTCTATGACCTCGTAAAGTCGTATGACGTGTGGGTGCATGAACAATCTTAAAATTTTGATTTCTCTTCTCACTGCAACAAGGTCGGGAGGAAAACAAAGGAGGGGGGAAAGAATCAAACATTGACAGAAGCGTAAAGCATGTTTAATTATCCATGAAGACCTGTAGCACACATGCAGAATTTCAAAGCAAAGGCATAACAAATCAATTATATTTTCCCCAACAATCTGTACCATTACAAAAACTATGGAAATCACAGCATAACATGCCAAGTGATCTTTGAACATATAAATCAGAACTTATAGAAAATTTGAGAAAGATAAAAATCTCAACTTCTTATGAAAATTGATGATTATTCATGAGAAGACATCACAAACCTTTTTCTTCCATTTCCATGTTCTTTATCTTGCGCCGATTAAGGATCTTAATGGCAACTTTATGGCCAGTCAATATATGCTCTGCAATTTTCACCTTGCTAAAGGATCCAATCCCAAGTGTTTTTCCCAACTTATAATTTGGTAAAAATACATCTGCACTGCTGGCACGGCCAGTTGAACCATCCATTCTCAAATCTAGAGGCATGATTAAGGAATAAAAAAGATCAAAATTGAGTATATTTTTGTGTGCCAGTACATGTATAAATACAGAAAAAGAAGAAACAAAAAAGATTTAATTAGATATTTTACATAAACTCACTGAAGTTGAGATCCCCCCCCCCCCCGGCGGGCGGGCCAACAAGATCATGCATCAAGTTGCTGTTGTGGTTTTCATAGAACTTGAATAAAATCCCACTTGCCAAGGGATATAAAGTATACAAAATCTCCAAGAGGTATTAAATTAAATGCCAATAAATGTGCATATCAAGACAGACGCACGTTGTATTAAAGCCAAGCAAGATTTTGAAGGCCTGGTTTATTGGACTAATAGACAAGGCCCTATTTACTCAGGCTGGACTCAACATTTCATTCCAAGAACCAGACTTGAAGAAAAGGATAAGCCCAATTTAAAATAACTCTGAGCTTGAACTTCCATTTTACAACCGGACTTGCCTCATTTGCATATATAGGGTCTGTCTGGATTCATGATTAAAAACCTCACGTAGGCCGAGATAAAACCCATCTCATATATTTACCTCGTATTCCATAAATCAAGACTAAAAAGCTGCTTATAAGCTATTTCAAACAGACTCATAATTGAGTATAAGTAGGGTTGAACTTGATATTTACTTTCATCCTCATGATTCCCAACAACGTCAACTTCCCGAACCTGAACAAGGGCAACTTTTCCTATTTAGTTCAAAGGTTTGGAAGGATGAGAAAGGGTAGTATTTCGTGACGATGTGCAGTTTTTGTTGTAAAATCGAAAAATTCTGTTCAAGTAAATTGCTCCTATCTCAAGGATGCTTCATGCCTTAGATGCATTATACACTAATTCCAATAGGATACAGTAAGGGACTTCTTTGATGTCTAGCTCAAGCCTCAACTTTTTAGAGGAAGATTCTCGCAAGAGATATTAAGGATAGGGAAATTCTGTTGTATGTTTTTTCTATTTTATTTTCTTTCATCATCTTGTTCTAGTTTAGTCCTTTATCTTAGGAGTATTTCATATCTCCCTCATTTAGAAGAAAAACCTTCTTTACACTTTAGCTTTGAGTTTTTGTTTCAAATTTTCCATTGGATGAGGTTTAGTTATCTTCCATTTTTGGATTTTACTATTTCTTTTCAATCTCACTTGATGTTATTATTCAACTATACTTTATATTCTACTAATATTCATTTCTCATATGTCAATGATGAGTTTTGTGGTAACTTGTATCATTTATGAGTCTAGTTAACTACAGATTTAATGCTTGATTGATTCGGCATAAGATTTTGTCAATTGAAGCAAGACATAATCGCAGGAAAGTAATAAATGTGTCCACACGCATGCTTGTTTGTGTGTGTGGATTTTTTTTTTTTTGGGGGGGGGGGGGGAGGGCAGGGGAGAGAAGATCACAAGCACTCCCCTCTTTTTTTCACAATCGTCCTTTGAGTGGTGTCTCGTTTCTTTGACACCATATCAATGCATTATAATGATTCTAGAAAGTGAGTCTTAAAAGCAATATAAATATTCATATGCATTCGCCTAAAGACCTAAGCTTTGATATGAAACAATTTTGATATGATATTAAAGCCTATATTAACAAGCCTAGAACTGAAACATTACCACCTCTCATTCTCTTAATCGAAGTCTCAACTTTTATGCAAAACTTTTGTTCTGTCCACACCTTCAAACTCTACAGGGTTTTGTGTGAAGGGGCGCGTTAGAGATTATCACAATATTATTTATAAGCCTTCATAAACAAGTTGACTTATCAAGTTGAAATGACCGTCAACAGCGGGCATTAGTTTTCATGTATCATATGCTTCTCAACTACTATAACTTTTATGATTTTTTGTGAGACGGTGTGACCATGGATTGTAAAGATATGGATCATGTGAAAAATAAACTCTTTTGTCCAGATGATGTGCTACACAGATTTGTCGTATGTCAAACAAAGCCATGAACATTGCTCGATTTGTGTATCCCTACCCATTTCATAATAAAATTGTCCTTCTCATGCACATGCTATTGGTTTCAATCAAAGACAATAAAACAGTTATTGATGTCGCAATTTCCATAAAGGGCTCTTGTAGTCATGGTACAAAGTGTGCAACATTGTGTATCACAATCTTGAAGCATAGCACGAGTATAACATAGAATCCAAAGTAACAATAATTGTAACATACGAAAAATGTAGGACAATATAGGAACTATTAAGCAGCACCTACTTTCATGGTTTCTATGTAACTCACGGTTAAAATCACAAAGCTTGGCTGCAGAGTAACTTCCAGACATAATGATTTAATCAATTGTCTGGACTGAACGTGACAGGTGTAAAAGCGCTAAGCACCTCTCTTGGATTGCTAGCCAAGAGATCGGAACAAAAAATCTATATGTAGCATACTGCCCTGCTATCAGGCAGATTTCTTCTGTGACAGGAAAAATAGGATTCAATAGTTCTCTGCGTACAAGAGTTTCAGATCACTGAAGTCCTGAGCAGTCAAAAAAGAATGTGTTCTTATCTCCTTTATCCATTCCTTCTACTAATTAATAAATTATATTTATATGAAGAATCAAGGAGATGGAGAGAGAGGCGAATATGAATCCCCTATTGTGAGGCTATTGTCCCCCCTTTTATGGAAAGTGCAGAACTTTTTCTTTAACATTTTTTTTGGGGGGGGGGGGCTGTAAAGGGGGACACGGTGAGTTGAGTCCACGTTAGAAGATGGAGTTAACAATATTTGAACACTTCCCTCATGAATGCAAAACAACCCGATTAAATCTCAACAACCCTAAGTTTCTGATATGTCCCATATCAAATAAAAGAACAAAAGAAGGGCGAGTCTTTCATATCAAAGGAAGTTATGACAAAGCAAAAGGAAAGGAAGCGAAAGGAGAAAACAGAACAGAACAACATAGTGTTTTTCTTTTGGCCTTACTGTCTCGTGGTAGATGTGGCATATAATGAGTCCCACGTGACAAAGGGTTGCATGAAACAATACTCTAGCAATGTGCCACATACGATGATTGCTCCAGCACAAAATTAACATTTATATGATACTACCATAAAATTTCAGCATGTTCAATCAGCAACCAATTGTGTGGCCTGAGATTAAACTCCAGACTACGGACCAGGATTTTCAAAAGTGCCAGCCATATTTTTAGAACGTAAAGTGCATGAATCTCTCAGCAGTCTGCCACATACCATGATTGCAGATTGCTATTGCACAAAATTATCAGTTATATGATCCTACTATACGATTTAGGCATGTTTAATCCACAATAAATGGTTTACCCTTTTTGCAACTAGGAATTTGAAGGAAGTGAAGGTGTTAATGGTTTATTTTTTCGCACAAAAATTCTCCACATAGGATCTGCATCATCGAATTACCTCAATGTTTGTAACAGTGTTAGAGCTTAGGAAATAAATAAAACTTCGTACAAGAAAATGAAGCTCAGACACATGAAAAACGATCATTTTCACGTCTAAAACATGTTGAACATTCATATCAGACACAACGCAACAAACATAACACTTCAAAAACGGCATGTCACTGTGTCAGCACTCATATTAGACACAATGCAACATACGTAACTCTTCAACTTTCGCCAGGTTGCAGTGCGCCCACGCAAGCCAGAAAAAACTGTACTTTTGCCCATAAATTATAAGGAAGATGAAGTGTTTAGCGTTGAATTAGTTGCTATCAGAATACTCCCGTTGAGGACACTGGAGCCTTAATAATAAAAAGCAGACTCCAAAAGATTACGATCAATATAGAAGTTCGATACGGGAAGAGTAATGTATAAAAGCAATAAGAAATGGAAAGCAAAGTAAATCTTTCATCAGCTAACTCCGGAATATATATGAAGAGAAACAATCCAACATCATCTCTACATTCATGGCCCATCTTTCCTAAACAAAATGCAACCCAATTCCCCAAAATTGGCAACGCAACCTTCCGATTGAAAACCTTAACTTATATTAAACAGGAAAGAAATGTTAAGAATCTCAGCAGTAAATAATCAAGATGGAATCAAACAAGAACAAAACACAGAATCAATTTTGGCAATTGAATAAAAGAACCCCGAAACCTTACTGGCGAGGGTCGTGGAGGGGAATCGACCAATATTACAAGGTGCTTAGATATGCAGACGCGAAATCGAACACTCAACGATGCGACCGGTGAGAAGCCTGAGATTGATGGGTAAGGGGCGGACCCTAAACCAGTGGGTTGGGAACAGCAAAAGGGAACCTGGAAACCATCGGCTTCTCCTTCGTTGTGCGCATCACTGGACTGACTGCTACTACGCTACAAACGATCCATTTAAATAGGTTCCCAATTCTCACACAACAGCTTCCTGTGAAAAACGAATCTTGAAATGCTGAGCCGATATAAAAAGAAAAAGGAAAAAAACGCCTTACTAACGGAAAAATTAAAAAATCAATCTTTATCATTTGTCTGCCATTCTTCAACCAACGCCCGCTGATTTGTCACGGATATGTTGTTATTTGATTTGATTATTTCCTGCCATGAATGAAAAAATAATAATTATTGACGCCAAGTTTATGTTTAAGTTGACTCATATTGTATTATTTTTCAAAATCAGCTTTCTCTTTTTCTTAATTTTTTATGGTATTTGGATTAGCTTTTTAAAAGTGATTTTTATATTTGCATAAAAATACATTTTTTTAATTGTTTATAAGGTTTCTATGAATATTATGAGAAATGTGTACGATGCAAAGAATTACGATTTAGTATTGTAGCTAAGAGTGGATTTTAGATAAATTTAAGTTGGACTTGGTGAAAATGAAATCACAAACTGCTCAAATAATACTGTAGCACTATTTACAAGTCAAACCATATAATTTGTTTTCTACAGTATTTATATATCATTAGATAGATAGATAGAAGATTAGCATAATAGAGAAAATAGGATTTCTTTTTTTCATTTCACCTAACCAGGTTCGGTTCGGTTCTCATCATTAAAATAAAATAAAATTAGAAATAGTTACTGAAATAATAAGTCAAACACAACTTTTTTTTTTTTTTTTTTACCAGAAATCAAACACAACTCAAAGCTATTGGTTTTAAAAGGAGAGAATCTCGTGCCAAAAAAAGAAAAGAAAGACAAATAGTTCTACATAATTTATATGAGCATCAACCAATTGTCTAAAGCATACTGATAGTTGAACACGAGTAAACGCAAATATCTTGTTGATCTTGATATGCTATAAATCTATGTGGAGATATGAAATTCTGTTGCTGGATTCACACCATAGCTTTTAATAATAACTATAGATTGAAGTGGTTATTATATCTCTCTCCCATGAAAGTAATGAAGAAATCTCGTGTTTGCGTTGACAAAATGACCCTGACAATTCTCTACCTAATATAGTACTACCTTATGTTTTTAATTTAATATTTCGTTTGACTTTTATTTTGGTCCTAAATATAAGACTCAAATCCACTTGTCTCTCATATTTATGTATTTTTTTAAAGTAATCCTTCTAATAATGGTAGTTATAGCCAATACATTTAATTAGTAAAGATATTTTAGGAAAAACAACATCTATTTATTACAAATAACTAACTTAACTTATTTCTTAATCTTTTAAATTAGTTAACTAACTCTTATAATTAGGATCGGAAGTAATAGTTGGAAGAAAGCATGACCGAGTGTCGGAAGCAGAGAAAGTTAATGAATTGGAAAATGAAAGAAGGATTGAAAACGGCACTGTAGCGATTAGAGTGACAAGGAAGACAGGGGGAATTGAAGAGTATGAAACTTGCGAGATATCCATGTAATTTACTAATGAAACAATTAGTTCAATAGTAAATTCAACTCGTGCAATGCACGAGTGATGTGTCCTTAATGTATATGGCGCAGTATAATTTATGTTCTCAAACTAATTAAATTGTTTTTATATTTATTATTCATTAGTAAAGGTTTTGTTGATAAGATTTGATTTTAAGGAAGGAAGCATAAGGTTATTTAGTTAGGAAGTTGAAATTTAGTCATAATCACAGTAATTGTACTATCATTATTGTCAAGATGGGCTAGAGAGATTGAAACTGAATAATTCTGTATTCTATTGATGAATACATTCATGAACTCTAAACAAGTTGGGGGCTCTATTTATACATCCTGGCCCAACGACTAAAGGACCTAATTAGCCCTTAACAGAACCGAATGACAATTACAATACTGTACATCATGTATCTTAACACTCCCCCTTAAGTTAGGGGGGCAAACAAGTTCTTTGTCCCTAACTTGCTAAGTAACGTGTCATGATCTTGTTTCCCAAGCCCTTTTGTTAATATGTCAGATTGTTGTTCGTTGCTCCTTACATGTTGAAGATTTATGATCCCTTGCTGCAATTTTTCCCTTACAAAATGACAGTCAATTTCTATGTGTTTGGTTCTCTCATGGAAGACAGGATTGTTGGCAATGTGTATGGCAGATTTATTGTCACAGTATACATTGACAGGTTTCAATCCATCTATGTGAAGGTCTTCCATCAATCTGGTAACCCAAACTACTTTTGGTATAGCGCTGCCCAAAGCTCTATACTCTCCCTTAGCTAAATATTTTGAAATAGTACTTTTGCTTCTTGGATTTCCATGATATTGGAGATCCTCCAAACTTCACCAGATATCCAGTAACTGATCTTCTAGTGTCTGGGCATATTTTCCAATCTAAATCAACATACCATTCCAGCTTGCTTGACTTGGATGCAAAAATCTTTATTCCCAATCCTGGACTTCCCTTGAGGTATCTTGCCACTTTAATTGCAGCATTATAGTGTGATCTCCTTGGTGCATTCAAAAATTGACTCAGAGTTTGCAGAGAAAAATATTCAAAAATTGACACGGAGTTTGTAGAGAAAAATTGATGTCAGGTCTAGTGACTGTAAGATAGGAGAGCTAACCTATTAGTCATCTATACATGGTTGGCTATGAAAGCAGAGGATCATTTGCCTCCTTCTTAGGGCTGCCACTTAATCTAATATTCTACTCTATTAAGTGGTTTGGTTGCAGTCAAGCCCATTTCAAATAAAATATCCAATGTATATTTGCGTTGGTTAATAATTATTCCATGCCTTGACCTAGCTACTTCTATTCCTAAAAAATATTTCAACTCTCCTAGCTCTTTAATTTTAAATTTACTGTGCAACAGTCGCTTTACTTCATTAATCTTATCCAAATTACTTCTAGTGATTATCAAATCATCTACATAAACTAGTACTAGATTGCCTTATGAACAACGAATAATCATAAAAACTCTATCTAAAACCACCTTGTAAGAGTGTTTTAGTGAGCTTTGCATTCCATTGCCACGATGCCTACTTGAGGCCATATAGGGACTTAGTTAATTTGCAAACTTTATTGTTTCCAAACTTATCAAGTCCCTGTGGGAAGTGCATGTACACCTCTTCCTTCAAGTCACCTTGGAGGAAAGCATTATGCACATCCATTTGAAAAAGGTCCCAAAATTCATCACAGAAATGTTAAGCACAATCCGAATGGTAACCATTTTAATGACAAGAGAGGAAGTTTCAAAATAATCTACTCCTTCTTTTTGGCTATACCCTTTAGCAACAAGTCTAGCCTTGAAACGCTCAATGTTACCATTTGAGTCATCCTTAACCTTGTAGACCCATTTGCAGCCTATGGGTCTCTTGCCTTTTGGTAAATCTACAATCTTCCATGTTGCATTATCCTGCAATGCCTTTACTTCAGTTTGCATGGCATTAATCCAGCGTTGGTCTTTTATGGCCTCTCTATAGCTACAAGGCTCAGTGACACTGTCAATGCTTGACAGAACATGTTTGTAATTAGTAGAAAAGCGAGAATAAGAAAGGGCATATTGCATAGGATATTTTACCTCCCTTTTACCTACTGTTTCTATTGCTTGAGATATACAAGCATATCCAACTAGGCCTTTGAAGTAATTTTCAGTGCTAGATGTGTAGTCCTTCATCCAGATAGGGGGTTTTTTGTGCCTCATTGGTCTATCCAGAGATTCCTCCCCTTCATTTGGAACAAGTGGGTCACCATGTTCTTCTCTAACAGTGTCTTAGTGGTCAGAAGAGGGAGTAGCCTGCCTGAAGGTAATAGGTGGAAGAGATTCTTCAACATAGTTACGGCTGAACTGCTCCAAGGGGTCAATCATGTCGTTATGAGCTCCCCCTTGATTTAGACCAGCCGCATCTAGGAAGGAGAACGTGGTTTCATCAAAAATAACATGTCTACTAATACAAAAGGTGTGAGTTTGAAGATTATAGAGTAACCCTTTTGAGTGCTAGGATAGCCCAAGAAAACACATGGATCAGATTGGTTTTGAAACTTGTCCTGAATAGTTAAATTTGTGGCAAATGCCAAATAACCAAAGACTTTTATGCTCTGCTTGGATTGAGTGAAAATGGGAGAGGAAGGAAAAGTGGAGTGGAAAATGGGAGAGGAATGAAGTTTTCTCCTACTTGGATGTGAAAGAAAATAGGAGAGAAAGAAAAGGGGAGAAAAAGATAGTGGGCCCCATACCCCATTTTCCTCTCAAAATTTCTCTCCACATATGGAGAGATTTTCACGGCTTCAGTTCATTCCCCTCACTGCCCTCTCCCGCAAGCTCGCATCAGTCCTCATCCTTTTCCACGCTAAACGCTCACTGTCTGATCTCCCACCTCCTTCCTCGCCGTCGTCTCAGCCGCCCCCAACCTCCCATTCTCCGCCGCAACTCTGCAACATCTCCTGCTGCACCATTAACAATATATATATATCTTCAGTATACGCAAGAAGCCATATAAACACGAACGCATGTAAATAAGGAAGGAGATATAATAGAGATCGCTGGGAGACAAAACCTGATGAGAAGGAGAAGTGGGTTGGTAGAAATCTTAGCCATATTATTATGAAGGAAGAAGTTCTAGGCAGTTTGGAAGTCACAGAGAATGGAGTTTATAAATAAGGTCATCACGAAGTATAGGTTTCCAGCTGCCATTCGTAGCTATATAAAACCAATCCCGTGTGACAATTTTGGATTATTTAGTTTTCTTACCAATTAATTATAATAAAGGTATTTTAGTCATTTAGATATTTATATATTTTCTTTCCTCCCTGTTTTCTCTCACTCACCCAAGTAGGATGAGTGATAATATTTTCTTTCAGTTTTCTCTTCTCTCCATTTTCTTTCCTCTCATTTTCTTTCCCCCCAACTTTTCTTCTCATCCAAGCAGGGGGTTAAGAAAGACAAATCAGGTTGATGACCATATAGCAATTCAAAAGGAGTCTTATTACCTAAAGTTGAGGAGGGAGTTCGATTAATTAAAAAAAATAGCAGTTTTAATAGCTTCCCCCCAAAACTTTAAATGATATACCAGATTGAAATAAAAGACTCCTAGCACTCCAAAAGGTGTCTGTGCTTACATTCCACAACATCCTTTTGTTGTGAGGTGTAGGGACAAGTGGTCTCATGTATAATTCCTTTGCTATGCAAATAATCTCACAAGTAGGGGTGAGCAAAACCGAACCGGAACCGAACTCAATTCGGTTATTTCGGTTCGGTTATTTCGATTAATTTTTTTTCCGGTTATTTTATTCCGATACTTCGGTTATCGGTGTTCGGTTCGGTGTCTTGGAAAATAATTCGGTTAGTACTGAAATAACCGAATTTGAATGAACCCCTTTTTTTTAAATATTTCTCTCCAGGTCTCTTCAGTCCCCACGGCCCACCTGCTCTTTTTATTTTCTTTGGACTCCATCTGTCCAATGATCTAGTCCACTTTCCACCAGTCCTGTGACCGTGACCCACCCACAGTCCCGCACCACACCGGCCCAGAGTTCAGTAGTTCACTCAGTTCAGCTCTAGCATCCGGTGCTCCATGGCTCCATGGTCCACCTCAGTCCTCAGTAACTCAGTTCACGACTTCACGCCTTCAGCCCTTCACGGACTCACGGCCTTCGCCCTCAGTCCCTGCTCACTCGCTCGGTCGCTCCCTCTCTCCCAGACTCTCACAGACTCCCGATAGCTCTCTAGTCTCCACGCCCTAAGTCTCAGTGTCTCACAGTCACAGGTCGGCACAAGGCCGCAGTCGGATTGGGCAGCTTAAATCTGAAGTTCTCAACGACTCCCTTCATCCTCGATCCCTTGGAAGTTCTGATCTACACTCCTTAGCTTAGCCGTTGTGGCCGCCGTCGCCTTCACAAGGTTCAGAGTCTGAACTTCAGACTTCAAACTCCCTTTATCGATCGGTCATCGCAGATCGCGAGTGCGACCTCAGATCCCTCTCCCTTCGGCCTTCTCCTTCCTCCGATCCCTCTCCCTTCGGCGGTTCGGCCTTCTCCACGTGCATAAGAGGCAAATATGGTATTCAAGTTGTAGAAATTTTTTCAGCCGTATCTGTTCTAGTGTTCTATGTATGATCTTTCTGTGATATTTTTTATATAATCCACATGTGCCTTTGTATTGCTCCCTCTTCATTTGAGTGATTTATGTTTTTCTTTGATAACTAATAGTCTGATACGGTCATATGGGTATATTGCATAGATAGAACATAATATGATTATAAAACAATTTTACTTAATTTGGGTGGTTTATTTGTATTTGAAATTAATTCTCTGCATCCGACATCAATTATATATTGATTGAAACCATGGGTGATGCTTGAATCTTGATTATATCCGACATCTGACATCCTCTGTATTTGGGTGGTTTACTTATGTTTTTCGATATCATGATCCCCTGTCCCTTTCTGTTCTTCTGCAGCATATATATTGATTGGAAGTTGAAACCATGGGTGATGCTTGATTATATAATCTGTTATAAATTAAAAAGAAGGGAGATTGATCAAAAAGAAAGCACGCCTTCTGCAAGCATTGAATTTATTATTTCATAATGATTTGATGATGCAGTGGAGAAAATTCTGTAGCATGTTCCACTTTGATGATTGTGTAACTAATATTTTTATTTTTAAATTAGATGTCTTCTCATGGTGAAACTATGGGTGATGCTCAAGCTGGGGATGATGATACCACTCAAACAACGAAGCCTTCAATGCCAGTAGCAAGTGGGACTACAAAAAGAAAAAGCATGAAACCAAGATCAAAGGTTTGGGAGCATTTCACCAAATTTGTGAATGAGAGAGGTGAAACTAGAGGTAAGTGCAACTATTGTGAAAAAGATCTTGCATGTGATTCGAAAGCTAATGGAACCACTGCACTTAACAACCATTTGAATGCTTGTAAATTGAAGCCCCCTCCTGAAGAACTTGTGCAATCTCACTTGAACTTTAATGTAGATGACAAAATGGGTCTTACTAATTGGAAATTTGATCAAGATGCCATTAGGAAAGCCTTATCATGCATGATAATTATTGATGAATTACCTTTCAAGTTTGTTGATGGGGATGGGTTTAGGCAATTTATGGCAATTGCTCAACCTAGGTTTAAAATTCCTCAAGATGGACTGTTGCTCGTGATTGTTTTGGGATTTACATTGATGAAAAAGTTAAATTTAAAGACTATTTACTGCATAAGAGGCAAAGGGTTTGCCTTACCATTGACACTTGGACTTCCATTCAAAGAATCAATTATATGTGTGTTACTGCTCATTTTATAGATGATGCATGGACATTGAGAAAGAGGATTTTAAATTTCATTCCTATTTCTAGTCATAAGGGGAAGGATATTGGAATGGAAATGGAAAAATGTCTACTTGAATGGGGAATTGAAAGGGTGCTCACAATTACCGTGGACAATGCTAGTTCTAATGATGTCATGGTTCAATATTTAGAACAAAAAATTGTGAATTGGGGTCACTCAATTATGAAGTCAATTCTTGCATATGAGATGTGTTGCACACATAATCAACTTGATTGTTACTGATGGGTTGAAAGAAATAGGGAGTTCTGTGAAAAAAGTTAGAGAAGCTGTTCGTTTTATCAGACAATCACCCCTTAGGATGAGAAAGTTTAAAGAGAGTTGTGTGGATGAAAAGATTCAAAGTAAGCAAATCTTATGCTTAGATGTTCCTACTCGATGGAACTCTACCTATTTGATGTTAGAGACTGCTCAAAAATTTGAGGCAGCCTTTAAAAGGTTTAAGGATAAAGATCCTTATTTTCGATTTGATCTTCAAGATGAAGAGGGGGTGCCTGAGTCTGATGATTGGAAGAATGTTAGGAGGATGATTATGATGTTGGGTCATTTTTATGAGCTTACTGTGCGGATATCTGGTTCTTTATTTGTAACATCTAATACTTTTTTCCGTGAAATTTATAAGCTATATCGGTTTTTGGATGAGTGGACAAAATGTGATGTTTGGGAGTTGGCTTCCATGGCAAATAGAATGAAAGAGAAATTTGATAAGTATTGGGGAGATCCTATGAAGATGAATCAACTTCTTTACATTGCTGCTGTTCTTGATCCTCGATATAAATTAGATTGGGTGCAATTTGCTCTGTGTAAAATGCACACAAGTGCAATTGGTACAAGTTTGGGGAAGCATGTTAAAGAGCTTTTAATTTCTTTGTATAATGAATACAAACACACTTTTTCCCCCTCAACCCAATCTGAAAAGGAGCCATTGCATAGCATACAAGATCATTGTGATGAAGATGATGATCCTGCTATGAAAGTTAGAAAATTACTTGATATTGAGGAACAAGAGTTCATGAATGAGCCTCTTGGTGGAAGAACTAGTAGAATTGAGGTTGATAGATATTTGAATGAAGAAATTGAGGTTAATAAAGATGATTTTGATATTTTAGGTTGGTGGAAGCTAAATGGTCCTAGATTTCCTATTCTTTCTCTAGTGGCAAGAGATGTTTTGGCTATTCCAATTTCTACGGTTGCATCAGAGTCTACATTCAGTACTGGAGGACGAGTTCTAGATTCATTTAGGAGCTCTTTAACTCCTAAAACTGTGCAATTTCTAATTTGTGCTCAAGATTGGCTTAGACGCTCAATTCAACATGTTGTAGAAGAAGGGAATGATGATATCCAAAAGATAGAACTTGGTAATATTTTATTTTTACTTAAAACATTATAAGAATAATATAATACTTGATTTATTATGATATATGAAGTCTAATTTTGTTTTCTTTGTGTAGATTTGCAAAAAATTGCATTGGAGGCAACCGTTGATATACTATAGGTGCAACAAGGAAAAAACTTAGGAGTAAACAAATATTATGCTTAATTTGTATGTTTTTTCTTTAACTCTAAAATTGTGCACTTTCTAATTTTCTTGTTTAATTGTAGTTGCTGGTGACTTGATGGCAAGTTGTATGCAAGGAACTTTGGGACAAGTGATGGCTGGAATTTCAGGCTGCCTTTTGGAGTTTCATTTTGGATTACTCGTTTGATTTTTAAATTCCATTTTGGCTTAGGCGCAAGGCGCAATAGTTGATTAAGTTGGTTTTTGGCTTTTTGCTCAGTTGATATCCGCAAGGCGCAAGTCATAGATTCTTCCTCCTTAAATCGTTGGTTTTTGGCTTTTTGCTCTTAGATGGTGGTTCTTCTTGTTCATTGACAGTGGTTCATGAATCATGATGGTTCTTCTAGGCTCCTAGCATATTTACAATTTTATGGGTGTTCTGGACTTCTGGTGTTTTCAAGGATATTAAATTTTAGGAGAATTACAATTGCATATTTACAATTTGTCATTAATTTTTTAATAATTATTCTGTTTTACAATATATGTAGTGTGTAATAAGATATATTTGATTTTGGAATTTAAAACTTTTATTACACCTTTCAAATATCCAAATTTTTTGTACAAAAAGAGCCCAAAAAATTATTATTTCTCACTATTTGGGCTTATTGTGCGTCTGCAATAGTATCTGGAAAAAAAAAGGCCCAATAGAAGGCCCAATAACCGAATAAGCCTACTAACCGAACTAAATAAATTTCGGTTATTTCGGTTCGGTTAGTTTATCATGTTCGGTTTCGGTTCGGTTTCATCTGTGTGATCATTTCGGTTATTCGGTTATTTCGGTTATTGATACTAACCGAACCGATTAACCGTATACACACCCCTACTCACAAGTCAGTATTAACAAATTCTAACCCATTGTTACTATGAATTCTCTTAACAGCAGAAGCAAATTGAGTATATGAACATAGGCAAGAAAATTTTTTAAATGATAAGCAATATCACTTTTATTTATCAAAAGAAAAGTCCAAGTACAACGTGTGTAATCATCAACAATAGTAAGAAAGTAATGATAGCCTTTGTAACTGGGCCTTTTATATGGTCCCCACACATCAACATAAATCAAATCAAAACAACACTGAGATTTAAAGGTACTAGAAGAGAAAGGGAAATAGGTTTGTTTAGAACGAGCACAAATAATGCACTTATCAGTGTGAATGGTAGGAACTTCCTTCCTAATTTGATCTAAATGCCTAAGTTTGTTTATCAGTGCATGCCCTAATCGTTTATGCCAAATGTCCTAAACTTGTTTAGCAGAAATACTAAGGGTTGTGTCTGTCTTGCTAATTCTCTCAATGATATAAAGTCCATCATGAAGTTTACCAATCTCCCTCGTCTTTTCATGTATGAGATCCTGCAGTGTACAAAAATCATAATAAAAGGAAACAATAAACTCTTTCCCTGCTGTTAGTCGAGACACAGAAATCAAGTTATAGCAGCACACACAAGCATAATGGACATTGGTGAGAACAACATTATCTAAGATTTTAACAGTACCAATATGAGTGATAAGCATTCTATTCCCATTAGGTACTTCAATCATTTTGACAGGACCAGTATATCTGTCAACCATATTAAACATATCTACATTATTGACCACATGACATGTGGCACCAGAATCAAGGATCCAGTGAGATTCACAAAATGATTTAGGAAGAGTAGCAACCAAACCTGAAAAGGTCTCATCGGTAGAGTCAATCATGCTTACTACGATATCATCCTGTTCCTTCCGGAGGGTTTAAGAATTTGATCATACTATTCCTGTGTGATGGATGCTTGTTCAGGTCAAGAGGCAGAAGGAGAAGGAGACGAGGTAGGAGTGTGAATGGTGGTAGAAGCCTGGGACTGTTTGGAATGGAAATTAGGAGGAAATCCCACAAGATGATAACAATGATCCTTTGAGTGTCCCTTACGGTGGCAATAGGTACACTCCTCCTGTGTCCATCCTCTCCCCTTTCCTTGGCCTCTTCCTTATCGACCCCCTCTGGCAGCCATAGTGGCACTATCAACTGATGAAGGAATATTATAGGATGAGAGATGCTGTTGGGACTTATCTTGACAAACAATTGAGTATGCTTGCCTAATGATGATGGTTATTAAGTTTGGTAAGGAATTGAATGAGCCGTTGTTGTTGGATCATTTGGGCGTACTGTTGGGTAGTAGAACATTCACAAGTAGGTTGTGGGGCTATAGCATCGAACTTGTCCCATAGGTCTCGAAGTTTGGTGAAATACTCTGAGACACTCATGGTGACCTGCGATAAGGAAATGATGGCTTTATGTAGAGTGAAAATGTGCAACCCATTGGCCTTGTGAAATGGTTCCTTCAAATCAAGCCAAACAGAGCAGGCATTGTCAGAGAAAATTATACCAAGAGCAATCTGCTTATCAACCGAGTTAATCAGCTAGGAAAGGGCGATTGCATTGCATTGGTCCCAAAGATCATGGGTGATGTCTCTTATCGCCTTATCGGTGGCAGAGGCAAGTTCCATCAATAAGCCCAAGTTTATTTTTGGCGAACAGCGCTAGTCGCATGGATCTACTCTAAATTTTGTAATTTTCAGTCCCTTTCAAAAGCTGTGGAATGAATGTGAGGGACTGGGTGTCGGAAGGATGGAGATATAAGGGATGTATGAAATCAATGGTAGATTTAGTGGATGATTGTGTTTCTTCTTCATCTTTTCCCATGGCTGGAGGAAAGAAATCTCAAAAAGAGGGAAGGTGAGAAAAAAATGGTGAAAAGAGAGGATTCTTTACTAGACAAAGTGATCGATTTCAGAATGGCACTTTCAAGATCTATCCTGTGATAATGAACAGAGCAAGATGGCAGAAACCTTTAGAGCGAAATCTTCAAGATTGATTGCAAGCCGTCTACTGAAACAAGATGGCTAGGGATTTCTTTTACAAACGGGATTCCAAAACGCAGCACGTCACTGCGGATCCCTTCTTTCATGATGACAACATCATATCTGCCTAGACAGGCTGACCAAAAGAAAATACTTAGAAAAAGAAACAAGCTCTTTGTTTTCTGGCCTGTACAACCGTAGCTCTAGATACCATGTCAAGATGGGCTAGAGAAATTGAAACTAAATAATTCTGTATTCTATTGATGAATCAGGCTAAAGCTCATTATACATTCATGAACTCTAAGCAGTTTGGGGGCTCTATTTATACGTCCTGGCCCAACGACTAAAGGACCCAATTAGCCCTTAACAGAACCGAATGACAATTACAATACTGTACATCATGTATCTTAACAATTATCTGTACATGGATTGTAACGATCCTTTGTTTGTTGATTACATTGAAGTGATGAATTCTTCCCACGAATCGTACAAGAAAGTCAAAACTAGTTCGCTAATGAATAACGCAATGACTTTTCTTATTGAAGAGTGAGACGGAGGTTGAGATATAGGAAACGACCAATGTCTTCATATCAATGTCCTATGATAATCCTGATGGGCTATTATCTTGGTGAATGCAGGCTATGTGACCAAAAGCACTTGTTATTGAAACTTCTGAATATTTTGTTATTAGGAGCACTATATATGATTGGAATGAGCAATGCGAATTGTTGGATAGTTGGTAATCTTTTGTGGAGATGGATATATTGCCATATATTTTGACATATATGTTTGTTTGATTAATGACGAAGATATCTATCGTAGTGTCTAGCCTGAGGGCTTGGGTTCCATTTACGCAAATCTTATGATATCCATCCCTTCTAGCCATTTCTCACACATCACATTCGATAGGAATCTTGCAACTGCACTTTTTGAATCTATAACCTCTTCTTTTGCTTTGTTTTTTTAAGTATTATATTTGGATCTTTTGCTGTTTTAGTTAAGTTTTTCCGGATGGATTGATGTGGGAAATTTTAATTAGACAAAGCAAGGAGGATAGGTGACTAATCGGCAGCAATAATAATTAGACTCTAATTCATTTTGCCTCTCATATTTATTTATTTATTTTTAAATCCTTTATAATGGTTACATATGTTAAATATTTTATCAAATAGTAGTTTTAACTAATATATATTATTAGTAAAGATATTTTAGAAAAGACAATATCTATTTATTATAAATAACTAATTTAACTGATTTTCTCAATCTACTCAAATTAATCAATTAGTTCTTATATTAAGGATCAGAAATAGTAATTCTAATTCTTGCACTCTTCACTAGTTGATCATCATATATAAGTATTGGTTTTGGTTTTCAAATACAAAGAAAAAAAAAATCTTCCGGTGAAAAAAAAATTCCAGTCTTAAACCACTGGTCAAATGGTAATTAGAGGGAGACTTTAGCAAATTCTAGCATGATGCGAGAAAACCTAACATTATATAATCAACACTCTGTATCTGGTTAGTTATAGTTTCGTGGTCCGTTGTCAGCATACTGACTACAAAACATGATGAAACGATGTTCACGCTGGGACATGTGAGTATTTATCACGTACGATGAAGGATGGCAAAGTTGTTCGTTGGACCATTGCCATTGTTGCTTTTTCATATTACTTCCTCGTGCAGTTGATATAAAAACTAATTGATTAATTTAAATAGATTAAAAAAACTAATTAAGTTAGTTATTTGTAATAAATAAATACTGTTTTTCTTATTATATTTTTATTAATCAAGTGTATTAGTTAGAATTATTATTATTACAAGAACTGCTTTTAAAAAAAGAAGATAAATATGAGAAACAAAGTGAATTAAGATCTTATATTTAAGATTAAAATAAAAATCAAATTAATTCTTATATTAGAAATTACAGTTGATATTTGACTGTAAATTCAGATTCAATTGACTGCAAAGGTATTCAACGAAGAAACAACTTTAGATTCTGACTTGTGAAGGCGCGAGTCAGGTGGGGAACGGTTGACTTGGTCTCTCTATATTTTATTACGCTTCTAAAGAGGGTGGAAGGACTCTTTTCCGGCTTATCCAAAAAAAAAAAAAAAAGGTGGAAGGACAAGACGGCAATACCGAGGAAGGTGATGCACTAGATAACAGATTAATGGGTCGTAGCCGTCTGACAATGACCTTGAGAGGGCCATCTCCTTATTCTATTCCAAACGCCAAGCTTCAACTCTTCCCCTCACGTTGTTTAAAGAAGAAGAAGAAGAAGAAGACGACGATCGTCTTTGCCATTTGATTTCGTTTCTGTAAATTTTCGTCTCTTACCAAGCCACTGTGTAGGTCAAAGCTGAGGAGTATAATTATCTCATTTTAGCTTTGCAGGTTGAGCTCATATTCTCTATCAATTTCTTTGTTATCTGCTTGCTCAATCTTTTCTCCGGTTTTAGTACGACTCTGATTCTTTTTGCTTATTTATAACTACGCTTCTATCGTCGTTTGATATTGGTTTTCCCAGTGTGTCATCTTTGCATTAGCTTTGTAGGCTCAATTCGTACTCTCACTCAATTTCTTTGTTATGTAGTTGATTAATCGTTTCTACGTTATCAGTATGACTACCCTTCTGTTTTTATTTGCTCCAGTGTGTTAATTTCTGATGACCCTTCTCATATTATGTATTGTAGTTTATCTTCTTCTGTAGCTGATTAGGAGATTACTTTCAACCCACAGATACAGTTTTCACGGCCAGATGGGAAACACCGAGCAACTGAACTTTTCTGAATTCTTGTCCGAGCTAATAGGTTTGGCTGATGAGGTTGCTTCGACTGCTCAGAACTGTGAAATTGAAAAGAATGCTTTTGCCGAGTTCGCCATATTAGTGGAGGAATTTGGATCGCTCTTCAGTAATTTGAGAGACAAAAGCATGGTCATGGACAAGCCACCTATTAGGAAATCGTTGGAATCTCTTAAGAATGAGCTTAAGCGTGCTAAGGCTTTGACAAAAAGCCTCAGTCAGAAACATCTTATTAAACAGATTGAGGACATAACTCATGATCTCGGTCGATCATTGGGACTGCTGCTTGTGTCCAGCCTTGAAGTGTCCACTGATTCTAGAGAAAAGATTATTGCATTGCAGAGAAAGTTGATGGGTGCCCGATTTGGTGGAAATACAAGTTCAACTTCAAGTCCAAGATCGGAGTTTGTCAGTGATGTGAAGCTTGAAGAGGAAATAGAAGAAGAAATAAATTACTTCACTATTGATGATGTTATACTGCAACTTAAACATGGTAATGATGAAGAATTCAAAGTTGCACTTTTGAGACTAAAGGAGTTCATCAGAGATGAAAAAGCAGATTATGATTTAATTAACGAGGAAGTACTTGTTGCCATTCTAATGAATCGACTAGGTTCAAGCAAGGCTGACAATAGGCTGACCATCCTTCAATTACTGAGAAGCATTGCTTTTGGCAATGATGAAAAGAAGGTAAGGTGCATCTTACAGACAGGTCATGTTTATTGTAAGTACAAGCCCTGGCTGCAGCCAGCAGTTCTAGTTATTAGTTATGTTAAGTCATAAAGTAGTACTTTGCAGGAGAAGATGGCAGACATTGAGTTTTTATCAACTTTGGTGAAGTCTCTATCAAGGGAAGCAGAAGAAAGGAGAGAGGCAGTGGGGCTTCTACTAGACCTCTCTAGCCTTCCTTCAGTTAAGCGGCGAATAGGAAGAATTCAAGGGTGTATTGTTATGCTGGTCTCTATTCTTAATGGAGATGATCCTGTTGCTTCACATGATTCAGCAAAGTTGTTGAATGCGTTGTCTGGTAATTCTCAAAATGCTCTTCATATGGCAGAGGCCGGTTATTTTAAGCCACTAGTGCAATGTTTGAAGGAAGGTAATGCAGGACAACCATTAACTGATTAATTTCTTTTTCTGCTTTCTATTGGTTTGGAATATCCATTAATAACTATAAAATTGGAGCATAAGTTATTGAATTCATCATATTTGATATTTATGGAAAAAGTAAATGTATGTACTGTATGTTTGTATAGGTAGGGCTACAATATACGAAAGTAATGCTGTGTTAGAAAACATAATTTGTACTCGAGTCTTAAAACTCTTAGTAACGTCTCAAAACTCTTAGTAACCTTTGATATTCTTGGCTGGTTAGCCCATTAGATAATAACTAAATTATACTTCTTTTTTGTCCGGAAATGAATGTGGATGTATTTCTTTTCTCCATATGCTGCATATGTAGTCTTTAATGAGATCAATGGTCCACATTTGATCTTTAGTTTTTATATGTGCAAAGTTCTGATAATGATCAGAACTGAATAAAATAGCTTTCTAAATTTCCCTACCCTAAATCTCGAATCATATTATTGCAGGGTCTGACATGACCAAGATCCTCATGGCAACAGCACTGTCGAGATTGGAGCTCACTGATCACAGCAAATTCACACTTGGAGAAGATGGGGTGATTGAGCCTTTAGTCAAGATGTTTACTTCTGGGAAGCTTGAGTCCAAGTTATCATCTCTAAATGCACTGCAAAATTTGTCGAGCTTGGCAGAAAATGCACAACGTTTGATCAGATCAGGAATTGTCGCGCCTCTGCTTCAACTTCTTTTCTCTGTAACGTCTGTACTCATGACTCTCCGGGAGCCTGTATCAGCTATTCTTGCAAGAGTTGCACAGTCAGAGCCCTTGCTTATTAATCCAGAAGCGGTTCAGCAGATGCTCTCACTATTGAATCTTTCCAGCCCAATAATTCAGTGTCATCTTTTAGAGGCACTAGATAGCATTGCTGCTCATCCGGGTGCCTCAAAAGTGAGGAAAAAAATGAAGGAAAAAGGTGCACTTCAGCTTCTTTTACCTTTCCTGATGGAAACCAACACTAAAATCCAAAGCAAGGCCTTGCAATTGCTGTACACTCTTTCCAAAGATCTAACGGAAGAGTTGACAGAACATCTTGATGATACGCATCTTTTTAAAATTGTTAATATTATCTCATCATCAACGTCTGACAGTGAAAAAGCTGTTGCTGTTGGTTTACTGAGTAATCTTCCCGTTAGTAATAAGAAAGTGACAGATGTACTGAAGAGGGCAAATTTGCTCCCTATTTTAACATCCATTATGTCTTCAAGCGCAGGAAGTAATTCACCCACAACATGTTGCCTGATGCAGAATGTTGTGGGTGTTATAATCCGGTTTACAAATCCTTCTGATAAGAAACTACAACTTCTCTCAGCAGAACACGGGGTAATTCCTTTGCTCATAAAACTGCTCTCAACTGGCTCACCAATCACAAAATCCAGGGCTGCAACGTCACTTGCTCAATTATCTCAGAATTCTGTGTCTCTTAGGAGGGCTAGAAAATCAAGATGGTTTTGTGTTCCTCCTTCAGCAGATGTCCATTGTGAAGTTCATGACAGTAACTGCTTTGTGAAGAGCACATTTTGTTTAGTCAAAGCCGGTGCTGTTCCTCCGCTTATCCAAATATTAGAAGATAAGGAGAAGGAAGCTGTTGAAGCTGCTTTAATTGCCCTCTCAACTCTATTACAAGATGAAATATGGGAAGGTGGTGTCAACTGCATAGCTAAATCCTCAGGTGTTCAGGCTATCATAAAGATTTTAGAAGTGGGGGATGTAAAGGCCCAAGAGAAAGCACTTTGGATGTTGGAGAGAATATTCAGGGTTGAAGAACATAGAGTTACGTTTGGAGAATCTGCTCAGGTTGTTCTTATTGATCTTGCGCAGAAGAGTGATTCCAGATTGAAGTCAGCAGTCGCAAAATTATTAGCTGAGCTCGAGCTCTTGCAAAATCAATCAAATTACTTCTGATACAGTTCATTCATTCTCTTTCAGCAAATTTTATGGCCATGATTTTGTTCAGCAATGCTTTTAACACTTCTATTTCAGCAGAAACTGTGTACAGCAGCTACTGATGGGGCTGCATCTATGTAAAGCTGCCTACCCCAGAGTTAAAGTTTTTTTTGGGTACATCCCCAGAGTTAAAGTTGGGAACCGCGCTAAACAAACAAGTTTGATGGGTTTTTTCTTTTTGGCCCTGGAAACAAGTATGATGGGCTTCACACTCTGTATCTCTCCTCCTTTGAAATTTAAAAGGTCCAGCTCTTCAAGATTCTCAATTTTGATTTTGGGTGGAACTCGTGCAGCCACATCAGTGGCTATGAAGGGTTTGTTCTGGGTTAGAGGGTATATGTGTCTTTTCCCCTTTTGTTTTGTGGTCCATTCATTTAATTTATTGTACATGCATGTATTTTTATCTCACTCTGGATGGATAATCCTATGAGTGGAACAATGTTGATATTAATTTAGAAGGCAAGATAGTGAAAAATATTCGATTATGGCTGATTCATCATCTTCTGGAATCGATTTATTATCTGGTTTGTTTTGGGGGGGGGGGGGACAACAAAAAACAAATTTGAGGATCAAGAAATCACAAATATTGTGAAGGAAGCTTTTTTTCGTGAATGGTGTTCTTATTCCTCACTCATTACTTGTTTTTTTTTTTTTTCCAACCTCACTCATTACCATTAGATTACAGCATTTTGCATGAACTCTACGTTTTTTTTTTTTTAAAAATCCCCAATACAAGTCAACCAAGTATTTTCAGAAAATTATGAATATAATTTTCCCCTTGGATCGACGGGCTCCATTTAAAGGCATCTAGGCTTCTTGGAGAATATAACTTCATATTCATAATAAAAAAAAAAAAAAGAATATAACTTCATATTGATATGATGTGTGGGGATAATAACAAAGGTGCAGGAATGAGAAAGCCAAGAGTAAGAAGACAAACTAAAAGTTCCCCCCTGTATAAACTGACTTGTCCCAAGAAAAGGATGGCCCATTCCCACGTGCACTGCATCAGGGATGTGTCTCGGCCTTAAAGTTTGTGTCTTTGTGGGTCATACTCATATATTGAACTTACCAACTCATTCTCATCTCACTAAGGAGGTGTTTAGGTAACCCCATAATCACTTTTCAGAAATATTTCTTTTATAAATCGAGGTAAATTCCTCTACATATTTATCTCGTACACCATAAAAATGTTCTAAAACTATAGTTTTGATTTTACTCAAACACCTCTGAATCTCGTAACTAAACCTTTTGGCAAATACTCGGTCCAGAAAACCAATAAAGTGAAACTGAACTCTGAAAGCGCAACAGAAAAAAAACAAAGAACGAGAGCACTGCCTAAAATGGTGTGCATGTGCATGTGATTCTGTTAAAGGCAACGTTATCCTTCTAAGCTTGCTTATCGAGAAGTATGTAATAAACAGTAGGGAATTTGAAAACAACTTACCTTCTTGTGTACAGTTTCTAGGCACTGAGACTCGATATAAATTTTATTATGCATATATATTGATCATATGATATTTTTGCATAAACAAGAATGGACTTTTTAAACAAGCTGGTCAAATGCTTAGTTGTACAATGCTATCCATTTCAGAGGTCAAGGTTAGCTATGTTTGGATAACAGTTTAGGACATAAATCCATATTTATAAACCTGGATTTTGTATGGTAACGTCGTACTGCATTAAATGAGTTAAAACTTATGAATTTATTTTACATATGGTATTTGAAAAACTGACTAAGATATCAAATATATTTTAGGATAAAAAATGAAACCATGCGTTTATTGATTTGCTATAATTAAAGAAGTAACATGAAATAAGCTCAACATTCAGGATTGAAACTTCCTTCTTTTTGTTTCTTTTCTCTTCTTTGGCCAGCTTAGAAATCGTTCATTTACTCAAAAACTTGTATCTGCACAATCTGTACATTTGCAACTACGAACCACGTGAACAACAGATTGAACTTGTATATCAGGTAGATGATTTAAGATTTATTCTTGCAATCCACGAAACTCAAAGCAGTGCAAGTTATAGTTGTAGACATGGCATTGGCATTAGCATTTGACAACTCAACAAACAACCATGTAACTTGAAGACCGTAAATCTCAGAGTTCTGACCTCTTTTACTATGTTATGGGAGGCAGGGAATTCTCGGACGCATAAAAGCTAAAAACATCGAGGAGATAACGACGACAAGTAACAACATCATGCTTCTCACCATCACCTCTGTTCCATTACACGCACACCCACGTTGTTATTGCTTTCTCCCAAATTCATTTAATAACATCGAATTTTCTCTTTAAAGCAGAAAGAAAGAACATTTAAGGAAAAAAATTGCAGCATTTGGATCCGACATTTTCATCGTCGGACCCACCAACTTTGTTGCTCCGAACCCCTCCCTTGTCTCTCCCTGTCTCTGGGTTCGGAAGCTGCAGAGAAGGAGAGACCCCCACCCACTGATTTTTTATATGAAAAGAAAGGTATTCTGTCACCCTTTATTTTCTAGAGCGATTAGTTTTTTTCCCCCTTAAATTATTTAAGATCTGATTGTAAAGGAAAAATATTTTTTCTTTAGTTAATTTAACTTCTGTTGACTTTATCATTTATGATCTTCCCTGCCATACCTGTTCTGGGTTTTACTGAAGATGAATCTTACCCAAGACCCACAATGCCATCTGCATTTTATCTTCGACAAAGATTCTAAAGTTTCAGTCTTTTTCCATATTAAAACAGATATCCAAGAATTTCAAGGTGGTTGTCGTTCTCTCTCGGTTGTTTCTAAATCATACATATTCCTCTGCCTTGTCTGTTCTTCCCATGATGCTTCCTTTTTGTTATATTTTATGTTTTTCTGATGTTGACGCATTGTTATATAATAGTTTTGCTATCCATCTTCCTTTCCATGCTTCTTTTAAGAATCTTTTGATGTGGACTCCTAAGTCGTTTCCTCCTCCATCTTTCTATTGAAAACTAAGAAGCAATACTTTCTTCTGCTTGTGGAACTGGAAATCTACATACAAGTTTTTAAGTTTTCTGCAGGCGCTGACCTCTACCTTCCGGCTCCGGAGGTACGTGACTGTGTGTGTATTGATTTATATATTTCCCATGAACATTTTTTCTTCTTCTATTTTGAATTCATTAAGTTGATGTTGAAATTATGTCATTTTGAATCATACAGTAGACGTAACATTTTGATCACTTCTTATGGGATAATCAGAAACTGTTGCTCTTATGTTTTAAAAACTACATACATGTTTCAAAAGTTTCGTTTCACTGTGTTTTCATAATTATCTCTCAGCTTGATAACTTAGGCCGGGAAGCTATTGAACAATACAGGTAATGCGAGAACTTAGTTCTTGGTATTCTCGTAACCTGGTGTGGAGATTCTTCTGAGGCTTTCACCGTTCTCACGAAATCAAATTTGAAAAGTCTGGAGAATTTGAGTGGTTGACAACATACAATGGGTCATTGTGTGTCAGTACCTTCAAGAAATACTAGAAGAAGGAAGAAGCTTCATTGGATCAAGAAATGCAGTGGAAAGGTCTCAAATGCTGTGGTGTTTAATGCTGGTATTAAGAGGAGGCATAGTGATGCAGGGACATGTGTGACAGATTATTGTTCTGTTTGTGAATTTGTTCATGTGGACCTTGAGAATGGCTCCACTACTACTTGTAGGCGATCTCTAGTGTCCAATTCAACATTTCAAGTTACTCAGCTTGAATGGCAACACACTCAATATGATGCGACAAACTGTATGATCCTTTTCTCCCTCAGTCAACTCATTACAACCAAGCTAGGAAACACATATAAGATAACATTGATCATTCATGCATGTAACTATAACATTCATGTGTGTGTATGTCATGAAATTAGTTTACTTAGCTCGACTTTCAAATTATAGATCTCACTATCTAATAGGGACATTCACCGGTTGAGTTGGGTTCGATATCGAAGAAGGCCAGGCCATACTAACCTGCAGGGTCGACCCAAGTAGGTGACCCAGCCCAACTCTAATTTTTTTTCCCTCTGGGGCTAAAGTCTGACCTATCCAAATCGTGCCTGAACTTGTCAGGTTATGTATAGACCCAAGTATTTGGGAAGGCATGTGTTTACTTATACACTTGGCACTCATGTTCATGTTTTTAAGGAACGAACTTTTGTGCCTGAAGAAATGATACTGAGTAATTAGGTACTTTATTTCTTGAAGTGATTTCCCAGGAGGAAGCATATTTTGACACCGTCAGCGTTCTGGAACCTGATTCAGATGATGACAACAATAGTATACATGGAGGTAATAAGTGTATGTGCGAAGAGTACCATGAAAGTTATGTTAAAGCTGATGCAGGAAAGTATGAAATTTCTCGCTTTGAAAGAAGTCATGGAAGTTTCAAAGGTGTTAAAGAACAAAAACATGAAGTGGAGGAGAAGGCTCTAGATAATCCAGCGAAATTGAGCCTTCCTCTTCCGATAAGTTCCAATCAAAAACTTCCAAATCGGCCAGGCAAGGCTCTTCAGTGTCAGAAAATGCAGACAACGATTTTCAAGCTTTCTTTCAAGCGAAGGTCCTGTGACAGAGAAGAAATCACTGAACATGGTAGGTTATTAAGACATTTATTTTGCATTCCATCAAGAAAAACTTACACAGTTGGTCAATATTAATTAGTAGGCATTTTTGGAATCTGCTTCGGTTTGTTATTTATGGAAGTTGTAGGTTGCTGTAATTTATATATAGTGGATCATAAAATTAAATTGAATGAAACAATGTATGCAGAACCAAATTGAAAAGACACTTATCTGTCCACGGCCAAAATATGATTCCCATAAGAAAAAAACATAACTCTCAGTGTAACAAGCTTGTTGTAAGCATTGAAAGTCATGCATAAAATCTAAATTTGAGCGCAAGCTTCTTTTCTGCATGTGACTTCTACCATTTGCTTAGTTTTCGTAAATCTGGCACATGATATTTTGTTATGGATTAAACTTATTGATCCTATAATTGTACGTTAGGTCAATCAAAAAGATATCTGTATCGTCCCAGAGCAGGATGCATAATTCCATGCCAGGAAGGAGAGAAGCCATCCTCTGGATATTGGTCTGAAATTCCATCATCAACATTTAAACTTCGTGGAGAAACCTATTTCAGGTATTTCACGGAGACATTGGAACTAATTTTTATATATGTTTAACATAGAATAACATAATTACATGATTGTCTGATCTGATGAATCAATTTCCAGAGACAAGTGCAAGTCCGCTGCTCCAAATCACAGTCCCTATGTTCCCATTGGTGTTGATTTATTTGTCTGTCCCAGAAAGATAAACCACATTGCCCAAAAGCTTGAGCTTCCAAATGTGAAACCCTTTGGGAAAATTCCTTCACTTCTTATTGTAAATATCCAGGTATGTATATGCTAATTCTGTGTTAAAGTTGTTAGATTGCACTGTTTTTCCTCTTTTAGTGGTGCAGGTTATTTACTAGGATGAGATTGGTTTTTTATGAATGGTTGATGATGGGTCATATTACCTTTTTTTTTTTTTTTCATGCGGCAGATGCCTACATATCCAGCTGCAATGTTTCTTGGTGATAGTGATGGAGAAGGGATGAGTCTTGTACTGTATTTCAAGGTTACTGAGACTCTGGACCAACATATTTCTTCGCAATTTCAAGAAACCATAAAGGTAGTTTGAATGCTTTTCTTTGCTATTTATTGACACTACGTAGTTTTTACAGGAGCACCTATTTATAGGGTGCCAGCAGGATCAAACTTATTAATTGAAAAGGGGGGAGAAGAAAGGTCTTCCACTAATACTTGATTGATCATTGATCCTTCAAAGACAGTTTCACTCGTTAATATTACAAATGGTCGGTGTAAACTTGCGCAGAAATTAATAGATAATGAGATAGAAAAGATCAAAGGGTTCACAAAAGACTCAAGTATTCCTTTCAGAGAAAGACTAAAGATCATGGCCGGACTCGTCAATCCTAAGGATATGAACTTGAGTTCTGCTGAAAAGAAGCTGGTTCATGCTTACAATGAAAAACCTGTACTCTCAAGGCCTCAACACAGCTTTTATGAGGTAACACATGCGTATATGGTCCGTTACCATGTTGTTTGTGACAAAGGATTGATTCGTGATTTCTAACGTTGTTGATCTTTTCACCAAAAGGGTCCTAACTACTTGGAGATTGATCTGGACATTCATCGGTTCAGCTACATATCAAGAAAAGGGCTTGAAGCATTTCGAGACCGTCTGAAAGATGGCATTGTTGATCTGGGTTTAACCATTCAGGTTGGTACTATGCTAATATGTTCAACATGATGGGATCTTAGGCCGTAGGATTTAGTATTGATCAAAATCTCCTGAGAGGGACTTCTCTAGAATGATCTGATAGGTTAAACGTTTTGGTGACTTTTAAGGGATGTCATTGAACTTAGGACTGACCAGTTTGAAATGACAGGCACAAAAACCAGAGGAACTTCCAGAGCAAGTTTTGTGTTGCATTAGATTGAACAAGATTGATTTTGGTGAAAATGCCCAAATACCCACATTAATGGAGTCTTGATCCTGAATCATCATTTGTATAGCAGTTAACATTTCATTATAGCACAAGCTTTCATCTTTATCCTAAGTACATGCTAGCTAGAAATACAAGGTATCTCAACCTTGGTAGTTTTCTTCTAAATATTTGTAATCAAAATCTTGAGAAAAGCACATGTATTATAATTAAGCTGTTTTTTTAAATTTTTATAGAAAATTAAATATTGCGTAAGACGCGTGATAATGCTAGTGATTCCCGTTCAACCTAGACTGAATAGACTCCCCAACCCCCCCCCCCAATTGTTTCTTCCGTTTTTATTATCCTTTTTCATAGGCATAAAGGTGGCATTCGCAAGGCATGAATATATAGGATTCCTCAATGGATTATTTCTTTTTTCTTCCTTTTTGGGCACTACGGCGCGAATGGGCTGCAAAAGGTAAAAGCCCGGTGTGCGCCTGTTTAAAGAAAATTATATTAAAGGCTCATAATTACAATAAACTACAGCAAATTACATACAAGTCCAAAACAGCACAATTTATTAATTTAAAGCTCCTTAAAATCTCAAAATAAATAAGAGGTCTCATGAGACACAAGAGCAATATATTCTAGATAAAAAATTACATCATTGTCTCTGTCCATAATTGACAAGCTAACGGGTGGTAATTAACAAGTCAATAGGAACCTATTAAAAAGTTAGGAGGTGTCATTTGACAACTAAACTTATGAGATAAAATAATCTTCACATAAAATTAAATTATTACAAAAAAGTATTATATAACAAATTTTAAGCTAAAATGCATATTGATATCTGATGAAATAATAGGTTTATATCATGATTTTCTTACAAACAGTAGTTGACAAGTTTATGGGTATGGATCAACAAGTTAATAGGAATCTATTGACAAGCGGGGGTGTCAGTGTTATATAAATTTTTTTTTTTGTAATTTGATATTATGTGAATGTTATATTATCTCATAAATTTAGTTGTCAATTGACACTTCCCAATTTGTCAATAGATTCTTATTGACTTGTTAATTCATACTCATGAGTTTGCCAACTAGAGATGGGAACAATGATGTAATTTCTCATTTAGAATTTATTACTCTTAGATTCCATAGCACTTCCTATTTATTTTGAGATTTCAAGTAACTTTAGATTAATAAATTGTATTGCTTGGGACCTGTGTAATTTTCCCCCCCATAAACTATGGTTTGAATGTTGAAAAATTACTTTATGTGTTTCATACCAATTAATGAGATATCAATGCTTGACCCGCCTAATGATAAAGCTGAAGGCATGCGACTTGAAGGTCACTCAAGCTAAAGGAGACGAAGACGAGATGATGACTTAGGTTTAATTGGACTATATATAGCACCTAGACAAAACGCTATTTAAACCGGACCAATGCCAACGCTGGATACTTTAGCCAATATGAGCTTTGTAGGGAAGCGGGAGGCTTATCAAGGGAGTCTCCCTAAGTATCAAGATCTCTTTAGGCTCCTTCATTGGGACATGGATTGGCCTAGTACTTTGCTTCTTTTTGGAGTCTATGATATTAATTAATGTGGTTGCCAAATTGGTTAGCGTCTTTTTTTTTTTTTTTTTGACCGGAGTTAGCGTGTCTTTAGTTTTCATCTGTTGAAAGTACATTTGTCAAACCGACTTTCAAAACAATAAAAGCAGTTTCTACTTACATTTACCAAACTGACTTTTTCATGACTTCTTAAGCATGCGTTTGGATATCCGTTAAGAGCTCCAAACGTACTTGGGAAAATGAAAAATGTCGGTTGTAGGCTTATCTAAAGATAAAAACTTCTTTGGATTGACTTTTTTTCCCTCTGACTTGTGAAGAAAAAACACGGCACCGTTGAACATGAGAAGAGGCTACGGTGGGCGTTGCAAAAGTCAGTCTACTATTAGGTGCATTTACATACTCAGATTTGCCCTCCTCTCTCTTCTCATTCACACATTCAGGCTTATCGAAGCTGAACAAGAAGAATCACAGGAACGCATAGCGACCTCTCTCTCTTCTTTCTCTCTCTAAGTTGTGCTTGAAGAAGAGGATCCAATCACTTGAACTAGCCCCTATCTCAAGCGTCCTCACAGTTCATCGAGCTTGCCTTCTTGATAAGAAGACCAGAAGGTTTCACTCCCTCTATTCTCTTTTCCAACTTGCAATCTCCATCTGAAGAAAACGAGGAAGAAATGAAAACAAGAAGACCAGAAACTAGTCAATGAAGGTGTGGTTGGGGGTAATCCCACGTGTTCCTTATTTATGTTGAGTCTTAAATCTAAATTCACAATTGATGTATTTGGTGAAGGGGGAAAAAATAAATAAAAAAAAGGAATTAAATTAAATTAACATAAAACAAAATATTTAACTATGTTATTTTTAACAAGAAAATTATGTAATTAAAAATTTTTCAATTTCAATGAATTTTAATTTATATTCATATTTATCCATTATATATATTTAATCAATTAAAATTTATTTTCAAAATTTTCTCAATGATAACTCTTTTTATTTTTATAATTTTAATTATAATTATTCTCTAACAATTATCATATTATAAATATGTATTATTGAATAAAGTTCATATGTCTTTTAGTCATTTTATATCTAAATTTATTTTTCTATTAATCACCCAAATAAGTTTCAAAGTGCCAAATTGACTTTTTTATAATATCAATCTAAACATAAATCACATTATATTAACTCATTTTTACCTTAACTTATGTTTGCAAAAGTCAAATAAAATAAAAGTTAGTTTTACCACTACTAATCTAAACACATTCTAAGTTTTATGAATAGGTTTTTAGAGAAAGAAAATTTTCTATCCAAACAAGCTTTTGGGTGATTGACTTTTTAGAAAGACTTTTGGTGGTGTTAAGTGCGGTATACAGATACCCCTTGGGCCATATGGCTTTGATGAGTATTTTGGAAGTGGTAATCATCATTTGGGCTGCTCAGATGTTTTTTCTCGTTTAAGAAAAAGAATGTCACAATTTACAGGGTGGTTTGGGTCAAATCCAACCAACTTGTTCAATGTGTTGGGTGTCAATGGGTGAGTTTATTCTGAATTTATCAAAGAAAATGGAACTTCAGGAAGTCACAGGGACAAGAACAAAGGTTCATGATTTTGCAGTGGTGCACCTTTTCTGTCAACTTGTCAATTTATTCTTGATTATAGCAAATATATTCACTTTATTTTTGATACTTTGTTTATGTATCATTTGCTTTTGTTTAATCTGTATTTGTACTAGATGCTAGGCAGCCTATTGGTACTTTTACATGTATTTGTTTTCTATGCATGTTTACCAAAAAGAGAATAGGTTTTAGAAGACAAGAGTATACTTCTAGAGAAACAAAATAGAATACTTTCTAATCTGAGCAATGTAACTAGCTCTCCCCATCCCACCCAAACATCAAATGCACATCAAATGCATGCTTCCAACGTGCAGTGATGTCTAAAAGAACTGGGTTAATCGATTAACAAAATTTTTATCTGGAAAATAAACGGCTCTTGTTAAATTAGACCATCTTCAGTGTGGGCATTTACATCTGTAATCCTACATCTCAGTGTTACTCCCGCCGACTATGGTAAATTGATAAAACTCTTGTAATTGAAGTAGGGTAACGCCGCCAAAGATGTTAGAAGAGATCATGTTGACGTCTCAGTACTTCAGATGCAGTGTCATAGTTCAGCATTGGATGCAATGCTTAGCAAAGCACCCTTGCAATAAAGTTGATGACGACTCCAATTTAAGACCCTTGCATCAGTTGTCTGGAAACGAAAATACATTAATCATGAAGACTTATGGGTTAGCTTTAAATTTACTGTTAATCAAAAAGAGGATGGACAAAGGAATTATATGACTACACAGAGCATTAACTTGAGTTTCTTCCGTGCATAGTCTAAGCTACCCAACAATAGCACACATAGAACTCACAGATTCTATACCTCTTCCTAGTCTTGATTTGCGAGTTGATCGATAAATACCATTTTCATTCCTCTGTAACGACTCAATGATTCTATTTGGCCGAGATATTTGGGGTCCCGATAATTCAGGGAGATCAACTTGCTTTCTGTGGCTCTGTAAGGTTTTCAGTAAAGAAAGTAAACTGATGTTATTTCCGATGATAAGCCAGAAGCAAAGTGAGAACATTAATCTGCATTAATATTCAATTATACACAGAAAGGAATAATCATCATATCAAGTGTCCGTTGCCGAGTCCTGAACACAGAAAGCTTATGGACCGTTTCAGCTCAGAAGTGAAGACTTACGGATGATTTTATTATAATCTTCAATAGCCTTGTACTTTAGCGTGACTAAAAGGATATGATTATAATTGCCTGAGATTTTTCATTACCTGAGTATTTATCACAAAATCTTTTTGTTCTGACGGATCAATGTCTATATAATTGTATTCATCAGCTTCACTAAGAGAGTCTGGTGTGCCATGTGGAACCTTATGATTTTGTTGTCGATGGTTGGAAGTCTTGTCATGATGGCTTGCATTGCCAATATTTCTTCTTTCTGATACATCTGTCCCTCGTTTGGTTAAATCATAGGTGCCTTTTGCAAAGGATGGATCGAGTGCACTTATTTTGCTTTTTGAGCCGTCTGATAAAGTAGACGTAGCATCTACTTTTCTGTTTTTGGCCCATGCAAAGCCATTGGATCCTGAGACTGGCACTGGTACACTAAAGCCATGAGATACATCCATTACGCGGGTAGTCCCTGACGTGGCATTTGATGATGGCTTCGACGCCCCCCTATGCATAGCTCCTCCTTTTTCCTTAGGAATATGCGTTTTTCCATCGTCTTTACGAGCGTTTGGGGAGATGTGCTGCATTTCCTGTATAAAGAAGGGCAGCATTATGGAAGTAAGAACTGGTGATCTTTCACAAACAATATAGCGTTATACACCGAGAGAGTACCTCTTTTCTTGGAGCTGAGTTATTGACACGGGTTGGTTCTTGCAAAATTTTATGGACTCGCTTTTGTTTTCTTGATTTCGCAGCATCCTGCACTTTACCTCCAGCTTTTTTCCTGAGAGTACAGAATAATGCTGACCTTGTCACTGAAATTGGATACAAAGTATCTTGTTTGCTTTGGAAAGCCATAATCAGATACACTTAATTTTGAATAAACGTGTTTGACCAAAAAAAAAAATTTTGAATAAACGTGAATGTG